GTCCTACGAATCGAATTTCAATGAGCTTTAATTGTGGATGTTTGAGTACAGTACAAATCTGCAGTGAAGGTCATCTGACAAAACCATAAGGAATGGCTCGGCACACACTTATTAGGTGTGGACTTAATATCTACTGCTTATTCCAATCTGTGAACAAATTTATTACTGTTCAGAAGACTCCTTCTGAAAAGACACCTCTTTTAAGCAATTTCAATAGGCATATGCTTTGCTTTTTGCACAACATCGTAGCCATTGTAAAGAGCAACATTTATGGGTGTTGAAATGCAGGGCTTTTTCTTCCTTATATATCCACCCATCCCTTGCAGCAGTATGCAGGCACACACAGGTGAATATCTAACATGGAATAAATTAGATGAAGCTGAAATGCTTTCCACAACTCCATGCTCCAGTGTCAGGTAAGCATCTGACTCTTTACCAAAATTCAGGCAGTGCTCCGGCTGACTATAAAGTTCCCAAGGATTTGGAGAAGCAGAAATTCGCCTTTCAATTTTATTAGGAAACCAAAACTTCCTGGCACAACGCCACAACATCCACCTATCTGTGGGAACTCCCTTGTTATTACTTCCATTCCCCTGTGGCAAGAGACTGCAAACCTGCAGCCAAATCTCACACAAAGGTTCACTTCTCCATCGCACCTGTGGAATCCCAGGGCGTAGATGAAAGTGAGGACTGACTGCCTTGGAAAATGTCCAGGCACAGAGCAGTAAAAATAGCAGGCAGCAAGTCACTTACCAGAAGCTCAAAATTCCCTCTTTCAAAGCAAGAGGGAAAAGGGAAGGGGATTCTTGTTTTTGACCACATAGCTCAGTGATGGGAAGGCAGAAGAGAATTTGTGGGATGATGATGGAGGTGAGGGAATTTCTTAGTGAGGGGAAGTCTGCTCTCTGGGTTTAGGAATTTGTCATAAGCTATGTGGAGCTTGGTACCAACGCCCAACAAAAACCTTCCTGTGTACTTTATAGTTCCAGTCCATAAAACAAGATTTCCACGCTCCAAGAATTTATTGGAAAGATAATTATATTCCTAAGGAACTTAGTCGTTGCACACATGAAGTCTTACAGAGATATTTAGATACTTTATTGCCAACCACTTACATAGAGATACTCTAGAGTTAACCCCTTGCCTGCCCTCCTGGGCATATCTCCTCATTTACCAGTGCCCTTTCCAATGACACACAAAAATTTAAAGGCAGCTTTTTTTGCTATGTTATAGAATCATGGAATGTTTTGGGTTGGAAGGGACCTTAAAGATCATCTGGTTCCAACCCCTCTGCCATGGGTGGGGACACCTTCCACTAGACCAGGCTGCTCAAAGCCTCATCCAACTTGGCCTTGAACACTTCCAGTGGCATCCATAGCTTCTCTGGGCAACCTGTGCCAGTGTCTCATCACATATTATTACTGCATCCAAGGGTGGCCACAAACTCCTCCTGCCCTTACACATTCTGTGAGACCAGAGACTTCCAAAACAGCTGATGAGTCAAAGTGCTGAACCACAGTTCTCTTAAACCAGCCTGGTTTTCAGCAAGAGGCTTTCTGAAAATCATACCCTATTAGATTGTCTCAGAGTGGGCCCACACAAAGCTACTGCTAAAACCCTTTTGCAAAAACATGACTGGTTTCTGTATGTGTCTCCTAAATACAGTGTAAACCAATTTTGTACAGACATTGCAAAATTTGGGTACTTAGAAAGTAGCCTCTTCTTCCAACTTGTAGCAATTAATTTAAAAATCAACAATCTTCATAATTCAGTTGAGAATTTTCAAAAGACCTTTGTGACGGGTTTTAACTAATTCATTTTCCCACAGAAACTGGTAATCTCCTGCCAATTAAAACAGCATTCATCTAATTCAACTCTCAGGTGCTCCCTACAATCACACTCATAACTCCTAGGTGAGGTAGCAACCCATTTAAATCTTTTTAAAAATGTTCTTTAAAGATAAAACTTATTATTAGGTCATAAAGCCCTGATATTTATCTTGCAATGATGATTAAGACATATAATAAAGCATGGATGATCAACCAGAATGAATACTGTGTTCAGTTATGAAGTGGTTTACAACCATATACTTCATAATATACAAAACCCAAAAAAGTAAAGACTAAAACAGTATGGTAAACCTGTAGAGGGTCTCAAATGGACACTTAGACCACACTAAAAAGAAATCCATGTGGCTCTTTAAAGACAGCTCTGCCTCCTACCTGACACTTCCCCTCTGGCTGAGCTAGCTTCATTAAGATTCAAAAGCCTTATCCCTGCTTCTCAATCTTGCTGTACTACCCACTTTCTGGATGAAAGACAACTTGCAAATGTTCAGGATCACTTTTAGTAAAATATACTACAAAAACATGCACCATCAGATTTAATATCACAAAAAAACTTGCAAATATGGGAAGATTTATGCTTGGTGTTCTTCTGAAATCTCCCTCTAAATAAATTCCATGGTTGAGCTATAGGCACCTCCTAAATGTCTTTTCACAACATAAGCAGGAGTGGATGAAGCAACATTAACAGCTGATCCTCTGGCATGTGCTGTGTCCTGTCATTAATCATTTCCAGGGCCATCAGCACTGCTGGGGGTTGTAATCAAATCATGGTCCATAACAGACAAACGAGCAAAAATTCTTCTTAATTTAAAATGTCATTAATTCAATTAAAACTATATTGACTGTAGTACAGGTCTGCCATTCTTAAACAGTGCACAAACATGTAATTCCCTGTGACAAGCACACACATACCAAAATAAAGATACAGAGATGGACTAGTTCCATGTCAGGGAAGTGAAAATATCTGAAAGACTTACCTACACAAAATCAATTAACACAAGTCATAAATCCAGGGAATTTCAGAAAGGCTTCAGAAGTGAAACAGATGACATGGCATGTCTCACTTCCTTCAAGGAGGAATTACTTACTGAAACCCTGCACTGTCAAAGGTAGCAGAAAAAGCAGCAGCGATTAATGATCTTGGTTGCATTTGCCCAGCCTAATTTTATGGCCAAGCCTCATCCACCTTAATTTGTTTATAATTTTGCCAGGGTAACTGCGATTAACTTATCAAGTTGCAGGTTGAGCTACTTTGGGGTCAGGGGAGATGGGAGAAAAAGAAAGGCTAATGCCAAGTCATGTGTTTCCCACAGACACCTAAATAAATAACTGCTGGTGATGCAGAAAAACACAGCATTTAAAATAAACAGGAGTCAAATCCTATAGCTGAAACAACCAAAACATAAAGTTACTTTTATCTCTTGGAAAGTAGCTCTCAGTATGAACAGTCATATGCAAAAATCAGCTGAATACAGATAGAACCCCTACATATAGAACCCCTTCCTGTACTCTTACTTCTAGATATGCAGCAGAAGCAGTATTTCCAGTTCCTGAAAAGTCAAGGTGTAAGCTAATTTGGGGGCAACCGAAGATGTCTAAATGCAAGCGAAGTTCTCATATCCAAACACTTCCAGTTCTCTGAGCAAGCAACAATTGCTCATGCCCAGAGAGCACTGAGCCAATTTTGCAGGCTGCTTCAACAGGTACCAGGCCTGTTTTGCTAAATAAACACTCTAGCAACAAAACTATCTAGCAAATTCCCCATGGGAAGTTTCAAAACCAGAAGGCACCAGAAATGGCTGCAGGCATATCTTCTACCCTCCAGGCACCCCTGTCTCCCAGCCAGGGAGCTCAGAAACTGATTCTCAGCTCCTTCCTGCACCACCTGGAGTGAGCTGAACTGCTGCATAACCTTGCAGCAATAAATCCCAGCTTCTGGCTCCCCATGCTGCCCCTGTGCTCCCACAGCTCAGTACAGCTCTAAGATTTGGCTTTTTGTGATGCCAGCTCTGACTTTTACTTTTTTAGAATATCAGCATGCGTGCACACAGGTAGCAGGCAGGCTTTGCTAACTAAAGCAATGATGCTCTACTCAAAAGTCTTCATACAATAAACGCTCAGCTTCAGGAAAACTGGTTTGGTTTAGATTTTGTTGGTTTCCAAGTACAACTGGGAGGTAAAGGCCTTGTCAGAGCTGTAAAACCCAGTGGTTTTACACTGTAGCTACACTACAGTTTTGCCTATTTATACAGCAGTATCCTCACTTCAAGGCTTCGGAGTTCTCGTAGTCCATTTCTGTTTTTTTCATAGAAATAATACCTGCAAAAGTGAAATGCCTTTTCCTCCATAATGGCCTTGAAGCTAATAACTATTTTAGAGCAATTCCAGTACAGTCGGAAGCTGTTATTGGCTGTTTATGTAACAGTGAATTAACCCCCACTGACACCTTTCAGGAATTCAGAACCATAGTGCACAAAATGTACTTTGCGAGAGCTTGTTAATATATGGTAAGTGCAAGAGCCGTCTCAATTCAGAAGAATGGCTTTCAAAGCAAACATGCTTAACCTGCAGTTTCAGTCATGGAAGAAATTACTCAATTAATTGCAGGCAACAAAAACAACAGGGTTATAACTAATGTACAGTATATGCTCTGTGGGTGTAACGCAAGCTCATTTCCCAGAAGTATTCTCTCTTACATTTCTTACCCCACTGCTGTTAAACTGTGTAAGAATGTTAAATTCACTTAAAACTTTTTCCCCACACATCTGTTTTCTGGCAATGAATATTATTATTAACACAGGTAGGGGCTGCTCTCTTAAGAAACATGTTTACAACACAGTAAATTTGGAGACCGGTATTTTTCATACTCAGTTCTAGACCAGACATCATCTTTTCCAAACTTAAAATCGAACAGCGGAATTTATAAGGTTTTTGCCTGCACTAATGACATCCTTGCAGCGACAAAGAAGAGACCACAGCAAAAGGGTTCAATAAATGCTCACCTGCTTCTAGGAATTCTAGCAGGTAAAGAGTAGTGAGAAGATCAAAAGCACAAGAAGACCCCACCAAGAGTTGACTGCTCCCATTCTGACATTGAGGAAGAGACGGTGTAAAACACTAATAACGATTAAAGATAACGGAAAGGAAACTTACCCAAGGAGACACTGATGCCTTCTCCCGTCATTCCTTCCATTCATGTAAAAGACATCTGTCAATGATTTGATCTAGGCTCGGTATCAGCATAGGGCTGGTACTTGGACTCGCTGCTTAGAGATTCCCAGGGTGTGTTTATATGCACATCTTACGATTAAAACGCTGACAACTAAGTGTGATAATAAAATATGCAGATGAAGATTAAAAGAATCCCCTTCCAGCACCTGCCAGGCAGCTCTCAGCAGGCACTAGGAATGTTCATAAAGAAGGATGCCTCCCGTTTGCATCGAGGCCAATTCCTCAAACCTACCTCCCTCAAGCCTTGCAGAATTTTTCTCATCCTGGCCCCCATGCAAACGCGTCTAATCCTCTTACCCCGAAAGCCACCCCCCCTCCGTCCCAGCTTTATTTTATTTAAAACGATGCCTACAGCAGCCCGGAGCTGCCCGCCGGGTCACCCCCCCGGGACACCTGGGCGACCCTGCCACATCACGTTAGGCGCCGCGGAGTGACGGGTTAAGACGTAATCTGTCCCTCTCCCCCGGCTTACGGATCCCAGGAATCCTCCCCCGCTATCTCGCCATGGCAACGGCACCACCGGGAGGGCGGCGGGGCCGCCGCTTACGCAAGAGGAGAGCGAGGCCTCGGGGCGGCCCGGCCGGGCTCGGGCCTGGGGACTCCGGCCCGGGGGCTCCTGCTGGCCCGGGGGGCTCCTGCTGGCCTGGGGGGCTCCTGCTGGCCCGGGGGCGCTCCTGCTGGCCTGGGGAGTGCGCCGTGCTCGGATCGGAGCTTCCCCTCCCTTGTTTTCCCTTCCCCCCTTTTTTTCCTCCTTTATTTTTTTTCCCTCTTCTTTTTTCTCTCTTCTTCTTTCTCCCTTTCCCCCGTGAGATTTTTTTTCTTTCTCCCCTTTTCTCCTTCTTTTCCCTTTTTTCTCCTTTCTTTTTTTTCCATTTATTGTTTTACTTCCCCCATTTTCATTTTCTTTTTTCCTTTATTCGTGTTTACTTTTTAAAAATCCCTTTACACTCCTATTTACTCTTTTCTTTCTTCCTCGTTTCTTCCCGTTTTCCGCCGCCTTTATTTTGTCTTTCTTCTTGTTTCCTCCTTCTCCCCCACCCTTTTTTTACCCTTTTTCTTTTTTTCTTCTTTCCCCTCTCCCCATATTTTTTGTACGGTTGGTTTGCTATTTTTTTTTTTCTCCTGGTTTGTTTTGTTTTTTTTTTTCCTCCTTGTATTTCTGACAGCCAATCAAGAACCAGCTGGTACAGATTTAACCCGCTCCAATCCCATCTCCCACCATGGAAAACTGACCACAGCCAAGCCGTTGGACAACCGGCCAATTCCCATTGCTACTTCCCCGGGAACAGGCACAGCAGAAAGGGGTTGTGCCTTTGAGTTCTTCAAATTAATAACCCTGGGAAGGGCAGAGAGCCGGCAGATGAAAGGCAAGGTACGGACTTTGATCGTGCAATCGGAGCCATGCGGGCAGGCTCCCGAAACATGTGGAGCACCCCTGAAGGTCAGCCTGGGCTGATCAGATTGCAGCAAGAGAGCCACAGAAAACAGAGCAAACGGAGGTGGAAAAATCTATACACCCAGATATCTGCCAAGAGATGAAAGAAAAGTTTGCCTCTGATGCTGGGATTTATGAATAAGGTAAATGAAGCCGTAATCTAACACTTGAGAAGATGCTTAGGTCTTCCTTCAGGAAAACACTTAAGCATGTGCTTAAACCCATTACTATTCAGAGCAGCCCATAAGCGTTTGCTGAAGGTTAAGCACAACCTTCTTACAGGGAGCCCCATAAGTACTGTGCTGATTAAGGTGGGCTTTTTCCCTTCTAAATCTGAGCCACTGTGAACCACAAAATGAATTGCCCTCATTATATTTTAATATTGTCTCTGTCTTCTTTCAAATTAAACTAGAGAATGCAAACAGGAGGTAAGTCTTACTTTACATCGAGAAGATAAAGCCCAACATTACATTCTGTCGTGTTTTATTTTTTCCTGTAAGATCAGCTGGCTGCACAACACTATGCATCCCTATGAATGAACATGTTTCACGAGGAAGAAAGAGCACATGGAAAAGTGATTGCTCTGCTACTCCTAAACTCTGGAATTCTCCTGATGTGCTGTTACAAGCCAGAAAAGATCACACAGAGCACTGCATACATACGTACATACATACAAACATATGCCTTATCCAGTGGTCTCTTTTGAAGCAAACCAGAAAAAGGCTGTAGATGGTGTACACATTTCAGCTATTGAAGGTCATGGATAAGACAGCTATTTATCAGTTCAAGTAAGGTCAGTGTTACATCCACCAGCAGAGAGCTCTGCCTGTTGCACAAATGACACTGCCTGCTCTTAATGCCCCAAGAAACTTTTGACAAGCTAAGCATATGTAACAAGCCACAAACCCTACATACAACTGCTCCAGTTCATTAATGTTCAACAGGAAGGTATTATGTCTGAAACTGGTTCCATTTCTGTATCACAGTGCATTTCCTCTCCTCCAAGCTCTCCACTGGTGATTTCTGACAAATTGTATCCCCCCGTGGAGAAGGAAAGCTCACTAACTAGTGGAATTGGTGGTTGTGGCTCTTTCCAAGAACCATTGTCCTTTGCTGCTATTTAGGAATATTCTACCCCACATACTAAACTACTGGTTAATTTATGTTCTTTATACACAGAAAAAGGGACCTTGGAAAACAATTTGTGCCAGTTTTAGACTTCTACTGGAGCTAAAATCAGGGTCTTGGTTGAATACCATAACACATATTTTTCGAGGAAAACACTGTTATATAACTCTTCTTCCCTTTCTGGGAGACAACCTTGGTAGAAAAGCTTGTGAGAAGCAGTCTGATCTTTTGCAGGTCTTGAGACAGATGGCAAAGTAGGAGGGTAGAAGGTTACCTTAAGGTTAGGGTGTTTCCCATCCTTATTAGATATATACAAATGCTACAGGCTGGCAGGAACACCTGCTACATTCACCTCCAAGAAACTTCTCATTTGAAGTAATTTGCCCTGGTAAATCCTGAGCTAAAGGCAGTATCTTCTTCCTGGAAACCTTGTTATTATAAACAAATAGGGACAAAGAAATGAAGAATAATCTCAAATGTCTGTCCCTAAATAACCAATCTACCTTTCAAGAACCAAAGGTCTCACCGTGCTCCTGTACTTGGCATGGAAACTGGACAAAAGAGATGAAGTTTGAAACCTGGATACTGCAACTGTCCTGGTGTGCCTTGCTCAGACCTTCAAACAGGAAAGCAAACTCAAGAAGTAGTAGGCTGGATCTTAAAACCCTTAGAAATACCTCTAAGATCATCGAATCCAATCGCTAACACAGTGCTGACAAGTCCACCACTGAACTATGTCCCTAAGTGCCATGTATACACATCTTTTAAATACCTCCAGGGATGGTGACTCAACCACTTCCCTAGGCAGCCTGTTTGAATGCTGAAGAATCCTTTTGTTCTTTCATTCTAAAGCTAACCGAATATAAAATTGTCATAGAAACCAATAAGAGAAGGCCACAAACATACTGCAAAAAAGTCCCAAAAGTGCATTCAGCTGTCCATGGACAGTGAAATTACCCATGAACTTTACAAAGTGACTCCTTAGGTGAATACTGTAGGATGCCTATTTAATTATAAAACCAAAAAGGGGGAAAATTAGATGTCAAAGTCTTTCTCACTGTTCTCACAACTTAAATACCTATGGGCATTAAATCAACAGAAGTATGATGATGAAATTAATAAGTAAACAACTCCAACCTTCACTGGTGCACAAAGAAGCTTGAAACCAAAGAAAGATCAATATGAATGATCCCAACTCCAAATTTGTAAATCAAATCAAAAAGAAGATGTCTCCTTATGTGAGATCATAGCGGGGCACAAATGGCTTCAAGACAAAGTATACATGAACCACTCTCTTCTGTGAAGGCTCAAAATGGGATGCTGAAGTTAACCACCCATGAGTTTTCCCACAGAAGCAGGACCTTGAAGAGAGTGTTACTGCTGGCACCAGATTCCCTGCAATGACCTGCCAGTGTGTCATTACCAGATAAGCTTCTCTCTCCTCCCCCAAAAACAAGCACAAAATGAAGGATGCTAACAGCCAGTGTCATTAGGCACTGGAGATCATTGCACCTGCATCTCCCTACATTTACTTCCTTCTTGGAGGATTATTTCAACAGTCTATTAAACTAGCAATGAAATAAGAACAGATGACAAACTGAGGATCTCAATTTTCTAAAGCTGAACTCCCCGTCTCTGTCATTGGAGTAAAAGTCCAAGTGATGAAATAAACCTTGAACTTTGTTGCTTTACTCATCATTTTTGGAAACAAAAGAGCACCTTGTCCCAGACACTGCAATTTAGCAACTTCATCTGTATACGTGTCAGAAAGAGGGAGCAGAAAGCTCCAGCCAACCAGTATCCAAACAAGAGCATTCCCCCAATCAACGTCACTGACTGGAATCGCACTTGGAAGGGACACACACCAGTGCAGTCACTGTCACACCACCATGACCCAATTCCAGGCAGGAAGCTGTGCTCCCAACCCAGTGGTCTCAGAAAGTGGGCCACATGAGCAACAACCAATCATGTAGGTACAAAATGAGTGAGAGAATGAAAAAGGAGAAGCTATTTACCACCAACAGGTTCAGCAGAACTCAGCTTGCATCATCCTTTTAGCCCTCCCAGAAGCAAGTGAGCAGGAAAAACGACAGAGAAGAGCTTTGAACTGGAACTCTCCGGCAGAGGAAAGGGAGGGTTGTAAGGACCATAGCCTTCTCAGCTTCCAAAGTCCCCAAAGGAATAGTGGGTACCTTGTGCATGTGTACTGGTTCTCCCTCTAATCTCAGCCACCTCAATTGTTCCTGAACGTAAAATTTCGTTTCACTAAAGAAAAAGGATAACAGAATCTGTCTATTCTTGATGTAGAACATTCAGCTGCCACAAAAGACAACACTGCAGATACAGAAGAAGAGAACTATTTAAGTATTTTTCCCATTTTTTGTCCAAAGTAATTCCAAATAATGAGCAGGGGGAGGAAAGTTCACTATGTTATCCAGGTTCATCCTAAATCAGATTGCAAGATATATTAGAAAAAGATAGCATTGCACTTGAAATATCATTGAATAAAAATTCCTACCTGGGCTTGAAATTAACTAGACTTTCCAATGGTTTTGTCCTGCTACACTCTTATTTAAACCAGGTATAATGCAATTATGAATCATATTCAAACAAGGTACCTCAACCAATTTAAACTATATTTAGACTGCAGTAATTTTACTACTAAAGAAACATATCAGAGGAACAACATGCTTGGAACATCTGTCGCAGTGATTGAAAGAAGTCTATGACAGGAATAGCAAACAGTTATTTTCTTTCCTAAGATGATGTCAATCTGTTGAAGCAAAGTATCAGTGAAGAAGATTGCTTCCAAAAGGTACCTCACTCTGGCCTGTCTTCTCCAAAAATATCCTCTTGCTGCATAACCTTGTCTGCTTGCTTATTATTATCTGCTATCTCTGCTTCAGGGAAACACTCTTCATCAAAGCTAGTAAGCATGTTACAGCATTACATGGAAAAAATAATTCATTTGTTCAAGTCTAAAAACCTTCACCTAATGAAATTCAAATCTTAAAATTCATCAACTATTATTTACATTTAGATTATCAACTGCATGACTCAACACAATCCCTAAGATACAGACCTCTAAGCAAGGCCGTCACAGAACATGTTCTGCAGTGATGATCAGAACCTTTGCACGTTCTTTATGACACAACTTTGCAGTTATTTCATGGAAGACAATGACAGAATGGCTCTCACTCTATGCTAATGCTGGTTCTCCAGCATGGATTTCAGTGTGGTGGTCCAAATCAAGGTTCTTCCCTACAACAAGTGTCTTGCTGCCCAGACCACACAGAGGTGGAGAATGAAGGTGAAGGAAGGAGTTGCTGGGGGTAGTGATTGGGCTCCCTCTGAGCACTAAGGTATAGGAAATGGACATGTCAAGCAGCGATGGAATGCCTCCCAGGATTCATTGCAAGTTCTTGGTGTACCACTGTCATGGGTCCAGCTGTGGGGACCCAGCAAACAGTACCTCTTCTGACTGTCATCAGGCTGAGGTTTCAACCCCATTGCCCCCTGGCAGCCACACGCACTGCTCCCCTGAGCTAGGATCTACTGGGGCCCTTAAATCAGGCACAGAATGCATGATCAAGAGTGGCCAGTTACCCCACATCACCTGTGTGACTGACACCATCAGCACACAGCTAGGGCAGGCACATCTCTCTTGAGCTCTGATACAATAAGCCTTGAGGCTCAGCTGGAAGAAGATAGGTCTGGTAGGCTGCCAACATGAGAGCATGGATGCCTTTAATAACCAACAGCAGCATTGTGTGACATGAGGCAATGCAGCCTGTGATGGGCCCAAGGCAGCTGCGTTCACACAGCCTGGCTGTTTCCCTTGTGCTTGGTGTTAAACTTGGCTCAGGAAAGGCAACCAGCATCATTCCTGGTGTTCTCAGACCAGCCTGGGAAAGAGCTCATCAGGTCACAGCCCTGCCATGAGGCTGCTGGATATGGCAGCAAAGCCACAGCTGAGAACACCAGTGGTTTTCTATCAAAAAAAAAAAGAAAAAAAAAGAAAAAAGTGACATAGTTTAGGAAATGTTGTGATAGGAATTAAGACGGGGACTTCAAAAAAAGCAGCCAAACAGTTTCTGAGCAGTGAATATGGATGTAAAAGCTTTCTGAGAAACTTAAATATCAAATAGCTAAGACAGAATCAAGTATCAGCACTCAGGAAGAAATGACTGAAAATTACTGTAAGAAGGGTGTGAAATGCCAAAGGCTGCTGATTATTTTAAGAAAAAGAAATCAAGCAATGACAGGGATACTTACATATTCAATAGAATAGTTTAAAGTCCTATTTTCTTTTCTTATGTAAATATTCCTGTTAACATATATTGTTTAAAAAAGACTCAAAAGAAAAATTTATTCCTCTGTGTAGAGTTTCCTTGTAGCTATAGGACTGTGTAATATACAGTATATAGCTATATACTTCAAAAGGGACTGCTACAAAGGAATCATTGTTAAATTTCAACTTTCAGCATCAAAAGTATTTTGTGTACCCATCAAAAAAAAAATAAAAATCACAATTCAGCCACACTTGAGACCTCATGTTGGATTCTTCTACAAAAAAATTCCGGAAAAGTTGATGGCTTACTCCACCCATAACTCAAATCCTACCGTACCTCTATGAAAACCCATGGACATAGATCCCACCTTCCTGAGAGCGGAGATTTGATTTCACTTTGCATCCACTGCTCCTTCCTTTGAGCTCTCCAGGGGCATGTCAGCTCTTTGCTCCTGTTCTTTTCACCCTTCCTTAAATTTCTACTCAGAGACCTTAGCAAGAGCTATCTATTTTAAACTGGTGGTGTAGAAACCTTTCCAGAACAATAAAAAGGTAGGACAGAATTTCCTCTGTAGGTAGCAGACAGGCAGGGCTCCTTTTTGACTATTCATTTTAATGCTGCCATGATTTTGTTGTAGTATTAATTATGCAGGAGAGCACCCACAGCTTGTATAAGCATCTTTTGGAATTATTTAGAACAAAATAACATGGAAACAGTAGTTACTCAGTATTTCTGCAAATTGTGCAACTCAAATTTTAGCACTGATCACAGAACATGCTAAGCAGCAAATAATGTAGTCACCAATGGGCCTTGAAAGATGAAGCACAGGTCAATTCTATGGGTGATTGTCCCACTTGTAGCACTGCACATGCTGAAGAACAGAAGCAAAGTAGGATTGTTAAGTGCACTACTTTGTGGATTCAGGTGGTTAGCTACTTAAAAACACAAACAAAACAAAAAAACAACCCCAACCTCCTAACCCAGACCACATCATGGGTGGAAGATACACTGAATTGAACAATATATTTCAATTCAATTTTTGCCATTCTGGTTCAAAGAAGCCCAAGGTGAAAGACCTAAAGGGTATCAAGGGATCCCAGAGTCCCATATTATTTCAACCCCGTCCTCGGCCAAGTCAGTAATAGTTGGATCAGAAATTATAAAGGAATATAGCTGATATTTGACGACATGGTTTTGCAGCCATCATGGAGCACCCTTCCTTCCCAGCTCCCAAATCCACACCAGCCTCTGGTCCTTGCACAGGACTGTGAAACCATCCCCTTTCCTGCTGAGGATGGAAACAACATGGGATAGCAGATTTTAAAGAGTTCCCTTCAGGCTAACAAGGCAATGTCGAAACGAACCAGGGTGCAGTCATAGCTGTGTGACTCTCCGAAAGAAAGCATTCAGAAACAGATTCATAAACAAGGGGATTGTGGCTGTCAGTAGGGGCTTAAGACCCATAATCGGGATCAGGCAACACAACGTGAAGCGTGGCATTCACCGCAGTAGTTACTACACTTCTCTCCTTTTTCCAGCAACTTCTGCTGACTCAGGAGCACAAATTGCTGACATCTCTCCTGGGAGTGCCTCTCACACGCTCCTTTACACACACACACGGTGTGAATGTGGAAAGGAGTATGAAAGAATAAGTATATGTCAAAGAACGTTAAAAAAAAAGTTCCATGCTCTAACCACCTCTCTTTTTAAAAAATACTCTCATTAAGTGCTACACTGAATGAAAGCAGCTGAACAAACAATCTTGGGATTACTGGAAAAAATACAGTGCTGAAATTTTGTAAGATTTTAGCCCACTACAAAAACCCATGGTTTTTTTTGTCAAATCTGGAAGACAAATTGCTTCAATGAGTGAGGATTTCCCCTCTTTTCAGGAATAAAAAACTCACTGTGCATGTGTAGAACATTCTAAATAACCAAAACCACCATGGGACTTGCATAGGTCCCCACTCCAGAACTGCAAGGCAACACTGCTCTTCCATATGTGGGATAAAAAGATCACACAAAACCTAAAGTACCACTTCTTGAAACATACAAAACTGCTATTCTTACAAGAAAATGCATACACACAAACCTAACTGAATTTATCTAATACAAAAATCACTTGAACTGATTTTTTTTCCACAAGGAAGATGAAAAGGTAGCACAGAAAAGCAGCCTGGGCTGCAAAGTGACAGACTTCAGCAGGCACCAGAGCAAGCAGGCAAATGTTAGTGTTAATAGTATTAAGAACACTGTCTTGCATATACAAGCAAAACATTTCTTTGGCAATCTCCTAGCCTCAAACACTTTATAACCTTGATACCCAAACTGAACTTCAGCACATTTTACGCCAAAATCCCTTTGGCATCTGCTTTAGTAACTGTCGAAAAAGTATTGCATGTTTCGTCCTTTTTTTTCAGTGAAATGTTTACTGAGGTACTTAATCAGGTAGTTTTTCTCTAAGCCATTGTTGCCCCTTTTTCTATTTCACTATCCCAGGCCAGCCTCACAACGAGGTTTCTATCTTTCATTGACCACCCCACTTGGACTCTCCCAGTTAGGCAGGAGTTCTGTGGAAAAGAGCTAGAGGTTACAGCACACAATAAGCTAGATAAGCATCAGCAATATCACACTCTTACAAAAAAGCAAATGTTGTGCTAGAACAGACAGCAAGAGAGGTCTGTGAGGAAAGCCATCTGCTGTACTCACCGTTACTAGGTGTCAACAGGAATATTTTGGTCAAGTTTCACTGCTGCTCTCTATGAGGTATGTGGACAAGTCAGAAGATATTCAGAGAATAGTAGAAAGAGGATAAATTAAGTATCTAATCTGAACAAAAGGAAACTGAAGGCAGAGAAGGTTACAGTCTTCAATTGTTCAGAAGGAAGACGCAAACAGGAAGTTAATGTATTTTCAAATTTAAAGAGAAAAGACTTTACCAAGACAGTGAGAAAATGTTTCTGACAGAAAGAAAAGCACATGAATAGATTATATGTTTATATATATACATATGTATACATATACATCATATGTGATATATATTGTATCTTTTTATTAGGATGAGAACATAGATCTGTATGTCCTGTAGAGATGCTGGCTGCTGTCAGAAATGACTTTGCCAACCCTGCCTTATGGTAAGCAGGTTAGACCATTCCTTGGGCACAGAGTTCAGCCCCGTGGTTCTGTGTGCAGGCAAACTGCCTTGCCCTTTGGCCAGCACTTAAACGCCCACTGAGGCCTATGAGAGAAACAGTCCCTTTATTTTAAAATACAGAAACAAGAGAGACTTGAGTCTTGCTGTACCTGGTAGTCCTGGGTGAAGTACAGCCTGCCCAACAACAGCAAGTCTAAGGCAGAATGATGAAAGATGATGTAGCCATGTGGAGTACTGTAAGTCACCTGAACTGCACAAAAACCCCAGCATCCTTCCAATCTGCTACTGAGAAAATAAAATCAGAGGTTTGCAGTTAGCTGCTAAGAGGCCTACAAACAAGAAAGGAAAAAAGTCTACTGCAACACTACCTTCCACTTCTTTATACTTTACCAGCATGATACATACTATTTAAGGACATCAGCCTTTCCTGCACCCTGCCTCTGTATAAAGTACATAGCATTTTCCTCTCTTATCTGTATTTTGTCTGCACAGATTACTAGGAGTTTGGGGCTAAAAACTGTTTTACTCATTTACACCATCCCTCAAAAAAACAGGGATCTTGTTCATTTGACTATAAGCACTGACCAGCCATTAGCTGTCCAAACAAGTTACATCTTTCACCTCACTGTGATTTAGCTACAAGTTTGGATTCAGTCAAAGAAGTTCTTTTTCCCTACTAATATGAATCTAAACCCACCCTCTGTCAGTTTAAAGCCATTATCCTTTGTCAAAGATCCCATTAAAAACATTCCAGACTGGGGCTTTTTGGTGAAAATCAACAGGACTGCAGTCTGGGTGAAGATCTCAGCCACCACACATACATGTTCCCTTGGCTCTTCCTTTTTCCACAGAAATTGGCACAGTGCATTAAGAGCTGAAGCTCTCTGAGAGAACAATCCAGGCAGAGCAGAACACCTCGGTAACAACATTACTAATATTACTAACACATGCGTGCCTTAGCACAGCCTTGTCCACAATACATGCATAACTGAGTTTCAGACTTGTTTTGGAGTCACATCTCATGCAAAGCAACTGCTGAGTTTAACTACAGCAACTTTTAACAAGAAATTTATCAGAACCATTACTGGGCAGACACATGGTATAGCCAGGACTAAGGGTGCTTATCTGAAAAGTGTATTTTTCTCCCCTGCCCATGCATTAGGATTGCTGGAACACTGGGCTTTGCTTCCCTGTTTATATATATATATGTATGTATGTCAAACACATACACATGTTCTCTGAACATCAAGGAAACAACAAGGAAAATAAAAAGAAATATTTTATAGTTCTATTCATCCTCCTTTTTTCTGAAGAAGCCAAAGCCTCATGCAAGGGGCATGGCAGATCTGGCTTCACTGACAGGGTACCAACAGCTGGCCTAGTGAGGTTTGTGTGGGCCACACATAGCATGCTGCACTCATTTGGAAAGTACCCAGCAACCACTCCCCAACTCATTTTGAAATCACAGAACCGTTGGGGTTGGAAGGGACTAGCACAACCCCCTGCTACAGCAAGTTCACCTACAGCAAATGCGAAAGGCCACTTCTTTCTGGTTTATATAAAGT